GGGGAATCCATGCTCTCCATCGGACGGTGGGGATTAGATATTGGGGGTGTTTAGTAATCGAACGGCGGTGATCGGAGGATTTGTGAGGAAAAGATTAAGATCATAGTAATATGAGAAAAGACAGATTTTTTTTTTTTTTTTTTTTTTAGTTTGGAGGTTTGATGAAAATGCTTGGTAGAGTCGGCGTTACCATTCTTTTAAATGGCCGCACTAAACGCCAATTGTGTTTGGGTTTTTATCCTCTGTAATATTTCCACGTACACCGTGTACACAGGCGCGTTTATACTTTATATATGTCATATGTGTGTGTTTTTAAGTTATAATAATTAAAATAAACTTTTTTTACACGTAGATATATAGATTAAGAATGCCTAATCGGAAGGATATTAGTCTTGACAATGATTTAAAATATTTTAATTCTGTATATGTTTAATATGGACATGATATTATATTATATGGAACTAGATTTATATTCCTGCATAATTTGATAAATTGTTTGTAAATATTATTTTTTATAAACTAATTTAGTTTTCCGAAATAAAGAAGATAATATAACTCCACATTATTTCGGCATACTTTTCGTGACGACATTTTGACACGTATGCAAGGAGGACTAATTAATCATGTCTGAATCGTGAAATTACTATATCAACCAAAGTGGTAGGGGTAAATTAGTCATTTCATGTGATAGATAATTTCTGTATTAACCAGTCCATTAATCATGCGTGTATGTGTTCATATACAGACTCGACAACGGAGCGGAATCGGGGATTAACGACGAAAGCGATACATCATTCATTTTGCAAATTGGTTTCACTATAATAATAAAACAAAATTTAAATAGATATTTTCAGATTCATATTTATCCACTCTAAACGTTTATTCCACATGATAATAATATGTATTTTAAAACCATATGTTAAATTAGTAATCTCTTGTTTGTTTAATTCCCAATATCGATATTGATAAAATAACCAAATTTGTGTGTAGCTGGCTGTATATACCAAATAATATAAAGTTTTAAAAACAATTACGACTTGACTAGGGGCATCATGATCATCCTCCTTTTGGAATATAATTATAATATTTTTTTTTGTTTTTTGGGCAAATTATAATATTTTTGTTTACCATGCAATAAAAAATTAGCTTAAAAATTCGACCGCTACTTTTTTTGTTTTGATTTTCGGAATTTAAACATATTATGGCATGAAAATTTAATTTATTAGTAAAGTTTTATTTCCGATAAATAATCTCCTCGAAATTATATCGTATTAGGGAAAAAGAATATTAATTAAATATCCACTATTTTTTATTTTGGTGGCGTCCAATGTAAACTCGACACATTTGACACCTGATTGAATCTGGTATTGACACGTGGCGGGATTTGATGGGACCCACACAAGCAGATGATGTGGAAGGAGTGGTGGGTGTGGAGAAAAAAGCTTTACGCTTCGGATGTCATGCTTTTGTTATGCAAATCGCACCACCAAAAAAACTTATTATAAAATAAATATTAAGAAACAAAACAAATCGGTCCATTCCATGTGATTATCATATAGATAAATAAATAAATAAATAAGCCAGGGCAAGTATGATTATTATTATTTTCTTTATTGTTAAAATCACTAATAATTCAGGCCCATCTCTATCCAAAATTACATAATCTGCATTAAATGCCATAGCATATGCATAATATTTTTTTTTCTGGATTGGTTTACGTCATAATAATAATAATAAAACAGCTTATAATTCACCGATCATACGATTAGACATGTATTGTATGCAACCATATTATAATTTTGTAGGAAATGTAATCAGAATACACGATACGATTTGCAAATTTTCAATAATTAATAATACAAATAATAAAATTTAATATTTATTTTGGTTGTATCATTTTTTTGGAGTTTCTAGACGTTCCATGGATTCCAACGACCTCAATTTCTGGGTCAAACACGTTAATAATTTTGGCCAATGATAAATTTTAACCTACGCTAAATAGGACAAAAATATATATTTTATAATCAGGTTACATATTTTTACCTTCTGTTTTTTTGTTTATTACCTTACGAAGAAAGCAATTTTTTTTGGTAAATAAAATTATAAACTATTTAACTGCAAATATAGAAAAAAATTAACAACTAAATATGGATTTTAAAATGGAAAGAGAAAAGAATTAGCTAGCCTATATATTTGGTAAAATATTTGACATACATACATACATACATACATACATACATACATACATACATACATACATACATACATACATACATACATACATACATACATACATACATACATACATACATACATACATACATACATACATACATACATACATACATACATACAACTGCGGTGATTAATGCAAACAAGTTGAGACAAAAAAAATCTGAATCAAATGGAGAAGTGGAGCCCAAATGTTGGTTTGAAGATTCACAAATGGGTACGGCGCTGTCTTCACTTGTAGATTGGAATATTCACCCTTTCTCCCTTCATTATTTTTAAATTTCTTTATAAATTGAGAAAATATTAAATGAAAACTTACACTTTGTTTCCAATAAAATTATTAGTAATTTTTTCCACGGAAGGTGAAACAAACCCAATGTTTGAATTGCATAATTTTAACTTTTTCCATTTATTATTAATCTATTTTTTTAAAACATACATACTGAAATATTTCATTTTGTAAAATATTTTTTTTTCATATTTGCTCAATCAGGTGATCCCGTTCTTCTCCTGTTACTGTCAAATTTATTTTACAGATACAATTGCACATATATATATATATATATATATGTATATGAAATGGATTTTGATGGATGCATTTAAACAACCGAAGCCATTTCTTCATATTAAAAATTATTGTCAATTCATTACATATATAAGGAAAATGCATTGCATATTATTTACGTCACGTTTGACCCTATTCCTATTTTTTTTCAACATATAAATGATAAAAGGCAATATATATATATATATATATATATACACGATAAAAAAAATTTGACATCTCTTTAATTTGATCCGTAAATCAAGAACTTGATTAGATATTTGACTTTGAGCCAGTCCAAAATAATGCGTTACTTTGTTTTATCGGAGGGTAGTGTTTTCTCGCCTGAAAATATGTGTTTCATTTGATTAAAATTATAAAATTTACTATTTATTAATCATTTTAAAAGCAGAGTCATATAATTTAAAATGCGATCATATATAAACATATATATATATATATATATGCAAATTATGGTATGAAAATGTGGGCCATTGGTCCATTACCATTTACCACGATAAATGCTTTGCTTTAATTAAATAATCCGTTCTTTAAATCACATCATGAGATAAGACATAACATAAATTCCGATACATTTTTTTTTTGTAATAACACAACGGAAACCTCTTTTCATATACGAATTTTCAGTAGCCGATAAAACGTATAAACATTTGTTGAATATTAACTTGATTAAATATATGCAACTTTGTTTTTAAATATCCAAAATACATATGACGAGACTAAAAATATAACTGAATATCGATCAAATTGTCCAAGGAGAATATTTCCGCACTAATTACGATAATTTTCATTCAGTCATCGGAAATATGTTCAAATAAATCAAATAATATATAAATACATTCGTAATTATTTGAATTTTAAAGGTAAAAAATATATTTTTTAAAAATTAAATTAAAAGGAAATATAACCAAAACGACAACATTGTACACCCTACTTTCACGTGTTAGTTCACCTTTTTTTTAAAATTTTTTTTTTCTCTACGATGTTAAAAAGTTGGTAGTAATATCCAAATACATTATAGTTTTGTAAAAATCAAATTAATAATACTATTGGACCAACGTTAATGAAAATTTATGAGTTTTTTTTGTTACCCAACTATGTACGTATGATAATATTATATGTGGTACAAAAATACGAACGTATGACCGAAGTTGTTGAATTTCAGTCTACTAGAAGCTATTACAATGGTAAGCCTAACTTGTAACTTTATATTTATTTTGCTTGTAATAACACTTTTGGTTCTAAAAACGTGCAAAAAGCGACCAACTTTCAATGCCCTAATCGGAGAACGAACGTGTGGACATGTGTAACTTTTGCACCTATTGGCTATTGTTGTATCATGTGACATATATATATATATATATACACACACAAACACCTTTATTTCCCCATTAGAAAATCTCTAGCTATATGTCACATACATGGTTTTGTATAACAATATAACATATCAAATGTATTAGGTTTTTAACGTTGTAACATTATATATACTAATCATTATTTATACCTTATAACTCCTACAAAATATATCATCCATCATCTACATATATAGTACGTACCATAATTAACACCAATACTAGTTATCCTATTATTCTATTAGAGATATAAAAAAATGACTCTGATATTTAATATAGTATAGATATATACGAATATTTAGTTTGGTAATTTCCCTATTTAATTTAATTTTTTTGATTGTGCTATATTTCTTTCTTTTTTTTTTGTACCTTTTCAAAAGGGGTAAGAAATTTCAAACCTCCTTTATTTTCCCTTTTCTCTCTGCTTTTTTTTTTTTAAATCACGATAAAGATTATCTTGAACCTTGAACGAGAAAGACCTCCTCGTTGATAGCTATTTCCACGTTCTTAAAGTTTTTTCGTACAATTTTGATTTTTTTTTTAGTTTTGTAAAAAAAAAAAAAGTATCCATTCGGTATTAATGTTAACTTTCAGTTCAGCTTGCACTCGATTTTTCATTAGAAAAAGTGATATTTTAAAATATTTTTCGTTTTTATATTTAGTTTAAATATATTTAGTTTTAGAATAGCCATTTCCAAATGGTTTTTAAATTACATTCAGTTCAAATAAAGTTATATATTATTTAGATTTTATTTGATTTTTGAATATAGAAACAAAATTGTCCACGCCTAATAATTAATGATAAAAAAAAATAGATCATGCATGACGAATTAAAGAGATGAAACACATGACTCTTTGAAGCACTATAAAGTATAAAATAAAGTGATGGATTATATATATATATTGTTCTCTAACGGATTCAGGCGAAGCCCTTTGTGCATGACCTTTTAATATTGTGCTTTTTGTAGCAGAATACAATATGCTCATATATTTCATGACATATTCGCCCGACAACTTGTAGAACCAAACCTAGGTCACGCATTAGAAAATGCTGCTAAATCTAATATTTGCATTTACATACATACATACATACATATATTTATCAAATCACACATATGGAATTTAACTAAGTTTTGTACTTATAATGACACATTAATTGTCGACGATTACAGTACGACAAAGGAGAAACTATGAATGCGTGTACATCTTTTTCACCATCACCACAACATATCAATACGGACATGCATACGTATATATGTACGTATATTCTACCGAAAATGTAAAACATACGTACATATACGGACAAAATAGGGTGATGTCAGCAGCAGAGGTTCATTTGGAGCCAAGTGGCGGTAATGGTATGAACAAACAGCCGTAGATTATTTTGCCTCTAATCTAATCCTTGTTTTTTAACCTGGATTGAGCAAAGTGATTAAGGACCTTCTCTCATTTGTCATCATTGTCAAGCATGATCCACATCCCTTCTCGATACAAAAGCAAAACCATGAAGGATTTTAATATAAGTTATATGTATCCCGCCATTAGGTGGTGGTCAAATGGTTTGATAGGTGATAAATTCACTTCGATGTATTGGGTTCGATTCAACTAATGACGAGGAAGGACGCAATTAACTGCGTTACTAAAAACTGATTCTGAATTTAGAAAAATTAAGTAAATCGAAGGCCTAGTGAACATCCTTATTATAATAATAATAAAAAAAAGATATATGTATTCAATCACAGTTTCTCATATACTAATTTGTCGTTTTTTGGATAGATATACGCAACAAATACATTCTCAAAGAAAATGCCAAAATCCTATATTTGGCTATCTTGATTATTTTTCTTCGTGATCTATATATATCATATATTTATTTTTCTATTTGAATAGATGAAACTATTTTTGCTTAAAACCAATGATTCTGTTCATCATTTTTCCAAACTAAATCAAAGTGGAAATAACTCAACTTTTAAAACTTTGGGTACTTGCGAGTGAATATTTTGAAAGAATTTTATCAAAAAAAAAATATGTTGAAAGAAAAAAGGATTTATTACACATTAAAATGATTTTTTTTTTAAAAAAAGGAAGCGAAAAACATCACAGACAATGGACTGCCTGATTGCATGAGGTAAATGAAAAGGGGTTTAGGCCCATGGGTCAAAATCATCCATTCATGATCCGTTCGGCCTTTTGTTTTTTTAGCCATTATGGTTTTTTTTTTTTTTTTTTTTGCCATTTTTTTTCATATATCTCGTGACCCGTTTATTTTCCATTACTTGAATTTTTTTGTATTTCCAACTTAAACTATAGTTTCTGAAATGTATATTCAATTTTTTTGGATGTATTAATTTTGATTTAACCCAATTTTTTTATAAAGGTTTTGAAACAACTCCTTTCCCTGCAGATAAATAATTTCTTGTGAGTATAATCAATTTAAATAAAACATTAAGCGGTTAAAATTTAAACAAAAGAGCAAATGCGAGTAAGTTCAATCTCGTGACCCGTTTATTTTCCATTACTTGAATTTTTTTGTATTTCCAACTTAAACTATAGTTTCTGAAATGTATATTCAATTTTTTTGGATGTATTAATTTTGATTTAACCCAATTTTTTTATAAAGGTTTTGAAACAACTCCTTTCCCTGCAGATAAATAATTTCTTGTGAGTATAATCAATTTAAATAAAACATTAAGCGGTTAAAATTTAAACAAAAGAGCAAATGCGAGTAAGTTCAAAGACAAATGAGAGGACCCTATGTTTTCGAAACTTGTACGGTTTGAACTGTTCCATAATGGAGGGAGGTGTTGTGTTTGTTTGGTCCGGTTGGTCAAAGACGCGTTCGCGTTGACCACACGTGCAATTTGTTAATCGACCGGTCAATGGTTATCTTACGTAAAGTCCAATAAGAGGTCCAAATCCCATTTAATTATATACACATATGCGTGTGCGGTGTTCCAATACCAAAAAATAAAAAGAAAAAAAATCTACATTGTCTGGTTTTACATTCATGATATATACACTAAATAACCGGTCAATAGAATTGTATTTGTAGAGATTTGATTCGTCGTTAATCTTGATATTCTTATTGATTTTTATTCCATTTTTGTTTGTCATAATGTCTATATATTTTAATTATTCATACAAAAAAATATATATTAATTATTTTGTAGAGGTTTGAAATCCATTATTTCTATTCAAACGCGGTATAAATCTTATTAGTTCGGTTCAGTTTAGTTTGAATAATATTGAAGAACATAGAGAAGGATAAACACTTGGTTCCCTGATTTTTAGATATTTTGAAGATAATAAAATTTATTAAATAATCTAATTTAATATTGGAAGAATATTTATCTAATAATCCGTCATAAATGTTTTCAATTTTTCAAATGTTAGTTGGATCAACCAACCTTCTTTATATTATTATTATTATTATTTCACGCAACCATGTATTTAAAATACTCAAAGTGGTAACTTTAATCATATGTTGGAATTCGGGTTCTTCTTCTTTCTTTTTTTCTTCTAACGTTAGTATAAAGTCTTTTATTAATATTTAAATACGGTGTTTTTTGTCCGATATTATCTCAAAATCCAAAAGAGCACATGATTCTCGCCGTCACGTTTAAAAACAAAAACAAAAAGAGTACTAGGATTTTGTCGTCATATGATATACACACGTACACAAAAATATATATATATATATATATATATTATGCATATTATAGTGATTATCTCTATGTTCTCGTATATACAAAAGAAACGCATAACCGTTTCAAAAAATAATGCCCAATTTATATTAATAAAATAGTTACAAAACATGCAAATTTTATAAATTTCATCATATATAGTACAAAGGATCCGATCATCTTGTGAATCGAAAATGGGTGATCTCGATGTGACAACTGCCAATCTCCGACGTGGGAATCTAAACCTAATTTAACTCTGATCCTATCCCCAAAGAATTCGAATCTATGTATTTACATCGGATTTTCCATCCGAAAAGAGAGCTTTGTATCCTTTTATTATGCCACGCATTACATCATCACATAAACCCGAACCCACCGGGTTGACCCGAATATCTGAACCCGAACACATCGACCGAGTTCACGCCAGAAGCCTGAGTCAACGCGCCGGAGCCGAGCTGCAACATCCCAGACGCAGACGCGGCGTTCTTCTGCCGCTGCGTTCTATAACCGCTCTCGACTTCATCGTCCGTCTTCACGTGGAAGTAGCCTTCGTCGTACCCGAAACCCGGGAAGACCTGACTCGCACCGAGTTCCGGTGCCGAGTTATGCGTGTCGGCGAGACTCGACCAATTGAAATCCGACGTGCCGAGATTAGCGATGAACCCGGATTTCTGCTCGGGCAAATTAAACGGCATAGACCGGTTTGAACCGGTGAAATGGAAGCTCTGGTCATCGATTTCGTGTATGGATTGGAGAACGTCGTCAAAATGAGACGAAGACGAGGTCGATGAACCATTGTTGCTGTATTCTCTGTTCGTGAGGACACTGTTATGGATTTGTTTCTGAGCACTCGAGTTTTTCTTGTATATTCGGCATAGAACCCAATCATCCAACTGTAATTACCAAAAGAGAAATGACGAAAAGTAAATAAATATACGTATACCGTAACTAATATGAACGTATATAACATAGATATACGTATTATAAAGTTCATCGTATGTATGTTATTGCCACCTTTGAGCTTCCGTTCTTGCGGGAGGGTTCGATGAGACGGTATTCATGCATGATCCAATTGGTCTTGGTTCCTTTCGGAGCTTTTCCGACGTAGAAAACCAAAGCTTTCTTGATTCCAACTCTGCGTCCCTCGGTGGATATGATCTTGTCCGTACCCGTGGCCTTCCAATAACCCGACCCGGCAACTCTATTGGGTCGTGACCCGTTTGGATACTTCCTGTCTCTCGGGCTGAAAAAATACCACTCTTTCTCCCCGAATATCGCCTTACCTACAACGTTAAACCAAAACAAGAACGCGTAAACCGGTTATATCAACGATCGGTACACAACAATATGACATTTTGTTAGGATTTGGACCGGTTTAGGTACTCACTTGGAAGAATCCATGGATCGAATTTATAGAGATCGATTTCGGCGATGATTTGGAGAGAAAAATCGTGACCGGCGACTTTGCGGCAGAGGTATTGAACCATGAGCTCTTCGTCGGTCGGATAAAACCGGAAACCCGGTGGTAAGCTCAATTGGGCTAACGGGTCGGTTTCTATTATACCCATTTTGAATTTTCTTTTCTCTCTTTCTTTTTTTAAAATTTGAAATTTTTGAAGCATGTGTTACTTATATATAGAGCGCATCACGCCGCCATATTGGCTGGAATGTGGGACCCACTTTGTGTTTATCTACAAATAGACACGTGGATCAATTACAACGTTGGGATTTTTATGCGTCATTTCGGTTCATTGAACCTATACGAAATTAAAAAACAATTATTTAAAAAAAAGGCATCGATGTTATCCGGTGTGTTGCTTGTCCAATTATATGGAACTGTGTGTGTATTGCAGCTAGTATTTTTTTTCCTGAATTTAAGGAGATTTGTATACATTTTAGAAATAATATCTTATAATATATGTTTTTTCTGTGTGTCAATATCTTATAATATATGTTGACCACATGAAAAAAAAAAACATTTATGTTTGACCATCATTACACGTGAATCTTGCAGTAGAACCTTATTTTATCGTGTTAAGAAAACAATTTTTTCAGCATATATCATTGAAAATAAAATCATCACTAAAATCAGATAAATTGTGTTTGCAGGCTATTGAGTAGATAGTCTTACAGCTGTTAAGATATTTAAGCAATTATTAATACTAATCATATTTTTTATTTTATTAAAATAGATATAATTGATCATATTTTTCTTAATTATATATATTGGTTGAAATAATTAAAATTAGTGTTAATGTCATGACATTCACAAAAAGAAACCTGAATACAAAATATAAATTTTATGAATCCAATTCTAAAAGGACGTTACAGCGACAAAACTTTTTTCTCCATATGTATATATATACCAACCTTTTTTTTTTTCTCGAACCTCAGAAAATATAATATGTAAAATGTTTTGGTATATAATGTGGTGTTTGTAAATATATAAAAGAATTATTTATCGTATTCAATGGTTTACCATGTCCCTAACATTTCAATCCATTTCTTTCTTACGCTTTCCAACGCATTTGTTCCAAAGAATTTCAGGGGAAAAAAATGATAGTTCATGAAAAGGAAAAAAAAAAAGATATTTAACAAAAAAGAAAAAAAGAAAAAAGTTATTGGGGAGACACGTGTAAGATGTTGGCACCGTCGTTGAGAACTTGGAAAAAAAAATCAAGACGAACTTGCGAACTGAACTGTTCAATGTATGATATCGTGGAAGGCGTTTTCCTTAAGGACATGAGTCACTGAACTTCCACGAGCCGACACGTGTCCACGTGTGTGTGGGTCTAGTTAGGCGGGATATTGTCAAAAAGGCGTTAGGGAGTGGAAAAAAAATATATAACACGCCTTGATTTGGACTCCAATTTAATTATACATTTTTTGTTGAAAACCAAATAAATTATGGTATTATTATAAGTTAAAATTCGAAAATGCTATATGGATATCAAATTCGATTCTTATATATATATATATGATTATATACATATGTGATAATATAAGTAACATATGTCAATAAAAGAAAATATTAACGTATTTAATATTTATGTATTTCCCTATATCTTTATTTCGAAACTGAAACCACATAATTTGAAACCTAAGTTAAAAGCATACGGCGAGTGACCAATACCTATGTGAAAGTATAAATATGTAAAAATGAATAAATTAGGTTAGAGTTCACTAAACAAACCCTCCCCCCCTCTCTCTCTCTCTCTCTCTCTCTCTCTCTCTCTCTCTCTCTCTGGGGTTTGTACGTTATTCGATTTCTGTAACCAATTAGGGTTTATTTTACAGAATAGCTTCATCACGAAGACTATATATATCTATTGCTTCCTACGTGTTGTCTTTATACGTTACTATATATATATAGCGTTGGATAAAAGGTAGTCGGCTTTATCCGATTGCTCCATCGATTAAATATACCCATCAAGTGATAGATAATGGGTTGGTCAAAGTTTCTTCTTCTTCTCTTCTTTTTTTAGTTTTTTAGATGAGAGAGAGAGAGAGAGAGAGAGAGAGAGAGAGAGAGAGAGAGAGAGAGAGAGAGCGCTCCTCGAGAGGAAAATGGATAATTATCGAAAGCTGTATTTCGTGGGAACAACTCGTATTATATATATATATATATATATATATATATATATATGTTCGTTCAATTAAAAACATATTATATTATTCCGCAAATTTTGTAAGAAACTGTCTATGAAAGAGATGAAGATGAAGGTGGTTATGCAGATTTTTAGATGGGCATAAAAGTCAGATGAAGGGAATTCATTCACGTGTGTTTTAGGGATCGAGTTTCTTGACAATAACC